GGGGCGCAGGGCGCGAGCTCCGGCCCCCAACTTTGGCACCTTCGCCTGCGCCCCGCCCGGCTGCAGAGAATTTGGACGGGGCATCCATGAGTTTCCCCCGCCCGGACTTCCCAGCGCCTGAACTCGAGCCAGCTCATTACACGGTTGGCCATAGATGACGGAAGCCCTCCCCACCGCACAAGCCAAACTGTGAGGGGAAGCGCAGCTGGTACCTCGGTTCCGGACCTCGTCCCGCCCCTGGCAGCGCGCTCTCGCCTCCCTCCACAAGCGTCACGTGCAGGACGGCTTATAGCACTACATTTCCCAGCGTGCTTCGCCGCGAATAGACCTAGCGGGTGCGGAGATTCACGCGCGAGGCCCCTTGGGAAATGTAGTTTCATCGCTATGCACTCTTGCTCCGTTTCAAGTTTTCAAACTCTTTCAACGATCGGAATCTTATTTTAGAGTACTTAGCGGTCACTGTGGTGGGCTAGCTAATGGTCAACTTGGAACGTCCAGCCTAACTGCGTGTGGCTTTGGGCGTGGAAGACCCACTTGAGAATTATTGCCAACTCCGTAAGAGGAGAACTAGAGGGAAAAATTTCATGCTGTTGATTTTCTTTGAGAAGCTTGACAGGGTTTTCCTGCTATGAACTCGGCTGTTCTCATGACAGAGGAGCTCCTGTCCTTGCTGTCACCAAAGATGGCTGCTGTTCTCATCGGGGGTGCTCTGGTCTTCTCTTGAACATGGCTTCTGGGCTCCAGTGTAGATCCCTCAGCCTGGTGGCACAGATCCTTCACCCTGCCAAAGACTTTCTAGCTTCCACCTCTGGCCTTTGGGCCTTCCTGGTGCAGATCCTCCCTAAGGACAAGCAAGAGACATCGCCATGGGCTCTAAGCTTCTGGCTGGACTCGTGGAGGACACTGCCTTGGGCTCCAGGCCTTCAGCTGGACTTATGCGGGACATTGCCATGGGGTCCAGGCCCTTGGCTGGATTCTTTGGGTTTCTAGTGTGTGGACAGTTCTCTTGCATCCCTCTCATTTGACTTTTTGGGTGAATATTATAAAATAATCCTATATATTATGTGTCCTGTATGAAATCTACTCCCTTGCAAACCCCGACTACAACAGTTAGTTGTATCTCCTTCACAGATTTGTTCAACACGATCTCACATGCCTAAATCTGTCCCCAGACATTTTTATCTTTCAAGGTTTTATAGAGTAAATATTAAAAATTATTCCACTAGCCTGTAATAGCAGCACTCCGGGAGACGAGGTATGAGGATCACCGAATTTGAGCTCAGCCTGGGCAGTTTAGCGATTTAGTGAGACTTTGTCTCTAAAGGGGTGTGGTGGTGGGGGGCGGTGAGGTTGTTAGCGCAATGAAAATGTCCTGGGTTCAATCCTTAGTACTGAAAAGGAAAAAAAAAAAAATCCCCATTAATAAAAACCTCAGCCTCATCTATCTTGCTCCAAGTGAAGTCCATTTCCTGTTCCTTCAAATAGACAAATCCAGGACTTTGTGAACAGGATCTCATATTCTTCCATGTGACCCAATACCAAGCAAATTCCTGGAAATTTGACCCAAGAGACCACCCGTTAGAAAAATACATGCCAAAAGTTTCAACAGTTAATAGTTACCAGTAAAGACGGACAGAAAACAAGAGATCGTTCCTCATTCTCACTCCACAGTGCCTATACTCGCCACTCACATCCCTAGAGACGAAAGCCATTTATTGCTGTTGCCCCTGAATAATCATAAAACTCCAATCTGACAAATAATTTAAAATTTTCAGCCTGTAGTTTTTCTGACTGGCCTGTCCTTTAGACAGGAGTCCGGGGGACAGGAGTTCCATGGCAAGCAAAATGAGCCCTACTTTGTCTGATTTTCCCAGGACTAAAAGAAGAGGCCCCCTCAGGGCAGCCGTGAGAATCAGCTCAGGGCCTGACACTGTGAGACCCTGAGGGGTCTCCTAGTGGAGAGGTTGCTGCTGTGGTCTATGAGGAAAGAACCTCGATTGTACGCGACATACTTAGCCACAAATGTTTATTTCCCAGGCACAGCAGGTTAGGCCAGGCTATTCAACTTTATTTTTAAATTTTATTTATATTTTGATATTGGGGATGAACTCGGGGTCTTGCGCTTGCGAGGCAGGTGGCAGAACCCACTGAGCTAAATCCCTGACCCAGGCTATTCAGCTTTAAAGATTCACTTTTCTCAGTTCCTCTTTGACACACTTGGCCACTCCTTGACACTGGTTCCTCACGTGGCTTCTGTGAGGCAGTTCTTTCTTTCTTTCTCATCATCCTGCTTCTCTGATGGTCAGTTTTCGTTCAGATACCTCTCAATCTCATCTTCCTCTAAGCCATACTCTTGGTCCTAGAACTGATCATTCAATAAACTCTTCAGTGAATCTTCAGATCTTTCTTTGTATTCACTTTATTGTTCTTTATTGCCACTGAATTACAGTACATATGTGCAACTGACAGAAAGTTACCTTCCCTGGGATGTACTTTCATAGCCTCTTCTTGCTACCTCACTGTAAAGCCAGCTCCTTTTCTCAGTTTCTGTAGTTTTGCCCCTGACGTCCTTTCCTCTCTTCAGGCAGTCTTCAGACTTGGAGCATTGTTAACACTGGTTTACTTATACCTGTTTGCAGCCCCTTCCCTTTTTTGGGGGGAGGGAGTACCAGGGATCGAACTCTGGACCTTGCGCTTGTGAGGCAGGTGTGCCACTGAACTATCCCTGGCCCGTTTCCCTTTTTACTGCATCCTACTGATTGTTTCAAAGTGTTTCACCTACCCATCATCTCTGGGCCCTATCCCATAATGCTTTCCTAGTTAAGGTATCCTCATTTCCCTCTAGTGAAGGAGATAAACATGTGACACTTCACAATGTGCCAGAATCAGTATAGTGATTTTTTTTTTCAAGTTGAAATCACTGGAAGAAATTGTAATTGCAGGAACTGTCATTTAGACTGTCTCCTTACAAGCAGCAGGACATAAAAATCCTTTGGGGAGGGATGTCCTTCACATACCAAGGCTGAAAAGTAACCGTGATCACTAGAGCTGGCAAGTGGAGTGGTAATGGAGCTGAATAAACAAACTCTGACAGAATTATTTTTTTTTGGTGGGGGGGAACTAGGGATCAAACTCGGGTTTTTATGCGTTTGAGGCAGGCAGCAGGTGGCGGAACCACTGAGCTAAATCCCTGGGCTCTGTCATAATTCTTACCTTCTACTTGCTTCTACCCCCCCATATATCTCTTAGCAGCTCCTATAGAATTTATTACCCTAGTCAAGATATCCATGTGTCCTGCCATTTCTTCCCAATTGTACTGCTGTTTGTCCAAAGTATAAAAACATCATTATTGGGCCAGGGATTTAGCTCAGTGGTTTTGCTGCCTGCTTTAAAAGCACAGGTCCTGAGTTCAGTCCCCAGTACCCTCCACAAATCCCCAACAACAACAAAAACACCATGATTTTATCATTTCTTTGGAGTTTACTCTTGCGAAAATTCTCATGCAAATGTAAGTTTAATAAAACTCTTAAGCTTTTCTCTTTTTTTCTCATTGAGTTTATTGGTACTTTCTAGGTATATGGTACAGTTATATTCATCATTGGGATCTTTTCGCTTTTCTCTTTTTAATCAGCTCTTACATAAATGGGGCTTCTAGATCCAGCCAAAGAGTCCACATAAGAACACAAGGGGTGATAGAGTGGATCGCTCTCTCCCTCACACTAGATTATTGAAGTTACCTGTTCTCTGGTCTCCCTGATTCATTTTTGCACCCTCTTTAAGTTGTCCTGTACAATTGGGGATGATTTTCCTAAAACATCAGTGTTTGTTTCTTTACTGTCAACCATCTCTTCAAAACAGGCCAACCTAGGGCTGGGGATTTAGCTCAGTGGTTCTGCTGCCTGTCTCCCAAGTTCAAGGTCCCGAGTTTGATCTCCGGAACCAAAATCAAAAACAAAAACAAAACTGGTCGACCTCACTAAGCTTTCTAAGCACCTGCCCTGTCCAACTAACTACTTTATCTTGTCTAATTGCAAAGGAACAATTTTTCTTCTCCTCTATGATATGGTTCCTTATTCTCTTTAAAAGGACAATTTCATTTTCAATTTTGTATCTTTGCCCAAGATGCTTTACCTGTTATAATAGTCTCCAGGTTTTCACTTTTTCCTACACATCTAAATCTTACCACACAAAGTTCTCAAACTTTAACATTCATGAGAATCTTCTAGATTGCTTAGTAAATACAGGCATTCTGACTTCGTAAGATGGGACCAGGCCCAGAGGAATATGCATTTTTGATGCGACTGATTTCTAGGCCTGATTCCATGCTAAGAAATGGTGCTTTAAGGTCTGATTTAAATATCAGCTCGTTTATAAACATTTTCCTTGTTGTTGAAGCTCTTCTTTCTCACCTGTGGCATTCACATTCTGTTTAATTTTTGGTCACTTGATTATGTGAATGATTCACAATTATTTTAACTTACAAATAACCAGAAGGTTGCACAGTAAACAGCAACTCCAAAATTCTGGCTTTGGTCTTCTTCATCGATGAGAAGAACAGTCAGTTTGTCAAATCAGAGAAGTGGAGT